AGAGGGCGAGCTGCCGTTAGGGCCCGCACGCGTCCGCCCCTCGCACCCCACAGCTGGGGGGTCCGCCGTGGCACTCGCAGTAACCGCTTCAGTGCTTCGGACGTATAAAAGTAGCACCTGTGACGGCTCGGCACGCGTAAGCCCACCGTACCTCTCCCATGAAGGGGAAGAGGTTGAAGCCCTTGCCCCCACACCAGTGTCTCTCCCGGGGACAGCCAGGAGAGAGCAGCTCCCAGGGCCCGCAGACAGGCACAAACACCAGGACCAAAGCCCCCGCTGTATGTAGGTGTGAAGCCACTGTTTTTCCTTTCTGTTTACTAAACTAGAAAACAAAGCAAGGTTTTTATTTTTAGAAAACAGCTGCAAAATGACAGCTTTTTCAGACTGCTGCACAAGACAGACACTGGGACACGTCTCAGTATTGTACAGACATGATTTGTCATTGCAGGAGTTTGTCACTGGTTAATCTCATGTGCCAAGAAGCACAAAGAGAGAAAGATGGGGGTTTGCCTCCACCTACTTGGCCAACTGGAAGTAACTTTTCCTTCACAGCCATTCCAGGTAGATGTAGGGAGGAACTGAGCAGCTGCAGCAGCAGTCACTGGAGGAAGGGTCCTAAATGAGCAGGGTGCCAGAGCAAAACACAACCCTTTCTCAGACACTGCTGGGAAGTCACAAGAGCATGGCCAGACAGCTAAGAAACACATCAGTAATTCAACAGTGCGTGGACAGAGTGGGGAATTTTCCTTCATTTCAGTGGCTAAATATTTTAACTCATGTTTAGCACAACTTTTCTGGGCCTACATTTAGTATTGCAAGATTTTTATCTTTCTACATGATGACCTGGAGCACTCCTTACCTAACACCGGATTTACTAAAAGCAGCTACTTGGCATGGGTTTTCTATCACCACCCACTCATACCACACTGATGCTGAAGCTACTTTGTCTGCCATTTCCTAGCCATAGATCTACTCCAGCCGTGACCCTTTTCATCAGTGGGGCAGTGGCTAATACAGAACAAAAAGCGGGAAGTAGAATGTTTTATGTGATTAGGCGCTAGTAAGTCCATCACCGTATTTATGATACTCCTTGTTAACACAGAAGCAGGGACACCTGGTGGGGTCTGTCACCCTGCGTCGGCAGGCTGCTGACCCAGGATCAAGCTTTTTCAGCTGGGGTTACTATGAACATCAGTCTGTTTCTTGATCCAGTTGGGTGCTTGCACCCCATCTAAGCAGCTGGCGTTGGGTGGCTGTAGCTATTCAGTGTATCTGGACTGTACGCTCGGCATTTTTAGGAGTCTAATGACAATTCATTGTCTTACGCACATCAAACCTCAACAGCTAAATGCTGCTTAAATGTTTCTGGATCACAGGGTTGTGCTTTCACACAAGCAATTTCAAATTCAACGTGGAATGGTGTCATAAGCGTGACTTCACGAATTCAGAATATTCTTGTAGACTTTCAGGATTTCTAGGGATAATTATGCAATACAGTTGGGAATAAGGATCTACAACTCAGAACAACTCCTGGTCCCTGCATAATTTTGTGAAGGATGATTGTTGCAGTACTCACGTGTGATCCATAGCAGAACAGGTCCATACCCAGCTCATACCCCATTCCGTAGTCGCATTCATCATTAGCAAACTGAACAAAGGTCAGCATTTCTTGAATGGGTGCAAAGGCCTTCAGTCTCTCATCATCAGTAGGAGCATCAACAATGGCCTTACATATTTTCTTAAGATTAGCTGCAAAAAACAAAAGCAGAAATATTTAGATGTTTGAATGAAGACATTTCATATTGCACAGAAGTCGTTTGTGGCAAAACCATACCTGTGTGTCATGCTTAACAGGAAGACTAAGTGGGCACACCCTGAGCTGCTGGTGAAAAAGCTTCCCTCTTTCCTTTGCTGCTCATTCTCACCCCACGTCCGTCTGTCTCAGTTCCCCACCCAGAGGCAAGCACGTGTGTGCTGAACTTGCATCAGGGAACTGATCCTGGTTACAACAGCACTGGTGGAAGAG